ACAAAAAAGGTTGAATACCACTGCTCTAGACATTATCTAGGTACAAATGAATAAAATGAAACAAGATTAAATATTCTGTGCCATGAAAAAGGGGTGTACAGAATCGAAGTGTGATCAATGCTTTAGGGCCAATATATTATATTACGTACATTTTAACAAAAATTATTACGTAACACTTAAGTAGATGTATGAACGGTACAATCATATTTGTATTAATTGAAGATGAATAACTCTTATTTGTGAGTACATCAGATATTTTCTTGTAAGTAAACTTTTGCGGACATATATCTTACCCTCGTTATCCTGACACAAGACGATTTATTAATGAGATTTAGAGATATTTACGTAGAAGTCTTACATTCAGTTAAATGGTTGTACCATCTTTCTATTTGTATAGTTTTCACTATGACCATTTCGCTAAGTGAATGAATGGAACAAGGCGACCTTTCTGGTGAAGTTCACTCGCCATGAGAATTTCAACCTGTAAATTAAATTATTACGCGCGCCATAGAGTCGACTGAGTTGTGGTTTCAAACTTGGCCACGTTCCTGTAGGCTTATCTGACAATAACGCAGCCTCGTATAATAGGCCCAATGTCCAGCTGGGAACATGGATTACACCGGCTTAAACATCCCTTGTCCATGCTAATACAATTTTGAGTACAAACTTTACTATACTGTATTAAAGGGGGTTTTATTAAACAAGACAAACCTGCCTTATAAGATTCTGATTCCACTGAAACTTACTTTAGGCTTTATGGAACAATGCTAATATCCACTGCTTTTCGATTTCGTGATGATCGCTCTAAACTTCGTAGCTATTATTTTATGTTATCTTTAATACTAGTATTTCTGTTTACGTACATAACTTTTTAATAAATTTATCCAGTTTTATGTATATAGTGTATATACTATGCGAAGTCATTTTGATTTGACAGCTTAAAAATAAGGGTCTATTATGTCCCATTCCTAAACACAACCCAGAAATTTTACTTCATAATCAACATCTATAAAGTTAACTGATGCATCTAGAAAGAATTTTTGGAAGAGATAATTTTCATACGCCCAACTACAATTGATAACTTGGTAAAGACTTATTTTTTTATACTTCTAATATTGCCCACAAATTGCGTTTGTAATTTATATAAATATCTTGCGTAGTTTAAAACAAGACAATTTAAGTGGATTAAGGAAATACTAGTGTTTCTTTAAATTACAGCCCCCATCAGATAAAACTCCTTTGGGTGTGACATACAAGAACAGACATACATGGTTGTAGACATGAGAATAGTTTCAGAAAAAGTTCAGACCAACAACTTCATAAATAATGATTGCAATGTCCAGTGACATTCATCACGCCCCAGTTATTTTATAAGGTTCACATAAAAAGATTTTCAATTTTAATGACGTATGCAGTATTAGAAACTTAGCAATAAACATCTGACGTAACACAGAACTGTGGTAAAAACGAGCAAGATTCTAATGGGCCGTGTTTGAAGAAATAATGATTGATTATGAAAAACTTCCAATATTCATACACAATTCTCTACTTATATCACACATACAAACATAAATTAGGGTAGGCATTCACTTGTAAAGCTGTCACTTTTTGTACACACAGAGACGTGATGGTATAATATTAAAATGAATCATAGGAAATACGTTGTGAGTTTGTAAACTGTAGGTTATGTTAGCTTAGCTTAGGTTAGGTTTAGGTTAGGTTAGCTTAGCTTAGGTTTAGGTTAGGTTAGGTTCAGGTTAGTTTATGTTAGCTTAGCTTAGGTTAGGTTTAGGTTAGCTTAGCTTAGGTTTAGGTTAGGTTAGGTTCAGGTTAGGTTATGTTAGCTTAGCTTAGGTTAGGTTTAGGTTAGGTTAGCTTAGCTTAGGTTTAGGTTAGGTTAGGTTCAGGTTAGTTTATGTTAGCTTAGCTTAGGTTAGGTTTAGGTTAGCTTAGCTTAGGTTTAGGTTAGGTTAGGTTCAGGTTAGGTTATGTTAGCTTAGCTTAGGTTAGGTTTAGGTTAGGTTAGCTTAGCTTAGGTTTAGGTTAGGTTAGGTTCAGGTTAGTTTATGTTAGCTTAGCTTAGGTTAGGTTTAGGTTAGCTTAGCTTAGGTTTAGGTTAGGTTAGGTTCAGGTTAGGTTATGTTAGCTTAGCTTAGGTTAGGTTTAGGTTAGGTTAGCTTAGCTTAGGTTTAGGTTAGGTTAGGTTCAGGTTAGTTTATGTTAGCTTAGCTTAGGTTAGGTTTAGGTTAGCTTAGCTTAGGTTTAGGTTAGGTTAGGTTCAGGTTAGGTTATGTTAGCTTAGCTTAGGTTAGGTTTAGGTTAGGTTAGCTTAGCTTAGGTTTAGGTTAGGTTAGGTTCAGGTTAGTTTATGTTAGCTTAGCTTAGGTTAGGTTTAGGTTAGCTTAGCTTAGGTTTAGGTTAGGTTAGGTTCAGGTTAGGTTATGTTAGCTTAGCTTAGGTTAGGTTTAGGTTAGGTTAGCTTAGCTTAGGTTTAGGTTAGGTTAGGTTCAGGTTAGTTTATGTTAGCTTAGCTTAGGTTAGGTTTAGGTTAGCTTAGCTTAGGTTTAGGTTAGGTTAGGTTCAGGTTAGGTTATGTTAGCTTAGCTTAGGTTAGGTTTAGGTTAGGTTAGCTTAGCTTAGGTTTAGGTTAGGTTAGGTTCAGGTTAGGTTATGTTAGCTTAGCTTAGGTTAGGTTTAGGTTAGCTTAGCTTAGGTTTAGGTTAGGTTAGGTTCAGGTTAGGTTATGTTAGCTTAGCTTAGGTTAGGTTTAGGTTATGTTATGTTAGCTTAGCTTAGGTTTAGGTTTAGGTTAGGTTAGGTTAGGTTATGTTTGTTTTAAGGCACAGCAACATTAATGGCCGACAAACTAAATGCGAACTGAAATGAAAGTACCAAGACAAGATGAAAATCATCTTGGATTTGCGATTAACTTTAACAGGGTGTAACGGAGTATGACTTCTTGCCTTCCTTGTTAACTCATGAATAAAATAGTCGCTGTCAGGAAAACAGTAGTCAAAATCTGGGAGAACAGTAAAAGCTCAAAGGACGACTTATTAATAAAAAAAATATAATTTTTTACCTACAAAGACGATAAAAGTCTAAGTTCTTTCGTACACGTGTTCGTGTAATCATTGGAGTTGTTACTTTGTACATTACAGAATATGAAAAAGCTAACAGTTGCTCAGATAGTCGAACATCTTCCAGACTCAAATCTAAAAGTTTGTGACAAATGGTGCGTTTTTAAATAAAAAGTTTTTTTTTGGATGTTTTCGATAGGGATTAGCTCTATCGATTGGGCTCTACAGAGTAGGTTACCTGAAGACGGAGATAGACTTCCATCTCCGAAACGTCGTTCAATTTCATTAGTTTATTAGACGATGAAAAACATCCAAAAAAACTTTTATTCAAATCTTCCAGACTCTCGTGGATCACACATTCAGGAAGGCTCGCGCAGATATGCTTAAAATCAGACTAATAAATCAGTGTAGGGCTATTTTAGAGGTTCTCCTGACCTCCGCACAACC